TGAGCTAATATCCTCTTTTTGTGGAAGCGGGGCCAACTGGGCTGGCAGCAGTTGCTGTAGCCTGAACTACCGGCCACATGGATCCAATCATCTCACCCTGGAGCACTGGCATCTCCGAGAGCACAGGCAAACAACTACCGCTTTTACAACTTCTTCTTTACAGGCGCGCTCCTTTCACACAGCCGCACAATATCAATAAACATGTGTACACAGGAAGTTAAGAAGCTATCCTCCGGGCACCAAGTGTTGATGGGTGAAGAGGGGGTAGGTGAGGAGGGGTGAGTGGGAGGAGGGCCACAGTGAAGCGTTCGAAAGGGCTGAACCTGGACTGAAACCGAAAAGTCAGAATCAAATTTAATCCGACTGACTTCAAGCAATAATTCAACGTTTTTGTTTAGTTGCTGGGATAAAATTGCTATACTTCAGATTCCTAATTTATCTTTTACTTCTGGGATGGCTACAGCTTTAAAGGTTGAGCAGGTCATTCAAAGTATCCTTGTGCAAGACACTGAATCCCAAGTTGTTCTTGATGCGCTCATTGGAGTGTGAATGTCAGACAGAACGCACTTAATGTAGAAAAAAGTGCTTGTGTGAATGTCGTATGAGGCACTTGAGCGAAGTAGAAAAGCGCTTTATAAGTACCAGTCAGTTTACTCCAAATCTATGAGTTCTTTTGCAGCTTGGAAAGAAACGAATACAGCATTGCTGCTCTCAGCATTTGCTCTCCGCACTGCAAAAGTTCCCTTTTGACATTGCAATTATACTGAATCGCTGGTGTTAGAATCTGCAGCACGCTCTGGTTCGATTGTGCATAAAGCTCCAATACACAGAAGGACATCCAGTGCAAACATGTACACCTCCATCTGCTAGTTCTGCATGGGAACCTTCAATCATACGAGCATGGGCCCCAGGGGAACTTTTCTTCAAGGCGGGAAGCTAATGGAGGACAGAGATGTGAGTAATCAGAGCAAAATGGGCAGGGACGAACGACCACAAGTGGCTGGTGCTCGTCGGGGGAATCTGGACGCAGAGGTTAGGCAGGGATAGGAAAACCACACTGGAAAACTGACTTGGGAATGGCATCTGGTTCCTATATCCACAGTGTATCACAATTAGCCGGCATAAGATGACTTTAATGTGTTATGTGTGTGTGTGTGTGTGTGTGTGTATGCTTGTTGTTATGTGTTTGGATGTTCTTGTGGGAGCAGGGACTCTGTGAACTGAGGAAGCCGATAGTGCGACTGGTTATATATTTACGTATGTGTGTGTGCGTTGTTTAAGTGGTATCAAATTATACAGGGAGGAGATCCTCCCTCCCGCAGGATCTCATCATTCCCGAGGAGAGAGGCATTTAAACAGCTTTAACACAAATTGTCAGCATGAAAAGCCAAATGTGCAGGCCAAATTTTTCCATGTGCAATACGTAAGCAAATTTCTGACCCACAAAATTCTTGTTGCGGACATGAAATGTTGAGGAACGGACAAGGCTCCACTTGGAAAAGTGTTTCTTTCGCTTCTTCTGCTGATTCGATCAGAACCGCACACTGGCTGCTTTTATATTTCTCATCATTTGATGTTGTGAGCAGGAGGAAAATTCCTTTCAATCACAAAGTTGTCAAGCTTTTTTCTCTCTCTCTCTCTAAAACTGCGAGCTTAACATTCATTCGGCGCTCCTTCAGCGCTACATCCAGTCATCCCTGTGAGTGTTCGGCTTGCTCAGCGAGCCAAAGTACGCAACTCGGTTGGCCCGAGAGCTGCACGTCGTCATTTACTGACAAACAAGCGCCGCTGATGGGCACAGCGTGAGCAGAGGACTAACGTCGAAAAGGTCAAACTCTCAATGTTGTCACATCCAGTGCCAGTAGGCTTGTTCAAGCACCGCTGCCCTTATGAGTCCAAGTAAACGCTGTCATGTCCGATAGATCCACTTTCAGCTCTCGGCGGGACTCTCTTCCCTGCCAAAGCCTGTGTGTTGTCTGCGCTCCGGCCTCTCCTGTGATGCTACGGCTGTTAGTGGACGCTTAGTTTTAAGCATACAGAACCCCACAACGCAGCAAAAAGTGTAAATGAGCACGACTTGTGAGAATGCAAGGCTTCCTCCACAAACGTCTCCTCCTCTGCATGGCAGAAGTCATCAAACTCCAGCTGGAAGATGTTTTATTAACAGGTGTGGAGCCGCAGCGCATATCAGATGAAGGATGAAGAGTTGAGGGCGCCCGGACTCCTCTGCTTCACCCCAACATCGCCTCTAATCCCTGCTCCGCGACTGCATAATTCATAGATTGTGACAGATCAGCTCCAACCTGCAGCGCTGGAATCTGCGCGCAGATGAAGCGGGGAGGCGGAAACCTCTTGTCAAATACAGACACGACCAGATTTATTTACCTCATGGCTGCACTGTAGCCCTGCTTGGCCGCAGATTTCGTTGTGGTACACAGACACGCTTAAATGAGCTGAAGTTGGTTTGATGTTCCCAGTTTTTGTATCGCTTTCAAATATTTCCCCTTGTCTTTCTGACCAGATTTCAAAGCGTGCTACTTTGTCTCTCTGACTGTATAATTTTAATTTAGTATGGCATTCAGTTTGTGCTGAGAAAAAAAACACTCATGCACACACAGATACACACAGTGGAGGGTGTTAGTGGGTACTTGACTGCAGCCTCAGGGATGGTGTTTTATGCTTGATTGGCACTAAATGGTGTGCACACGGAGTGGCGAGCGCTCGGGGTTGATGTTTTGACATGAAGCGGCTTTTTCAGAGGCACAGAAAGATGAGAAAAGATAAAAAAACCAAGTAGGAAAGACATGATAACTTCGCCTCAGCTGTCAATTCGAAGAACCCCCACCCCCCTCCACCACCACCCCAGAGAATATTAATGTGCGGTAACCGAAAAAGAAAATTTTTTCGGGTTTCGGTGGCAAGGACGGGCAAATCGCTCCTCGTGTAAGTACTCTCAGTTGAAAATCATCTGTAAGGTGTCTCATTTGAACATTTTTCCAATCTGTCTGGAGAATAACAGGAGCTCTCCAGCAGCACGTCGCTGGACAATTGAGTCTGCGACGTGAAAGCTGACGAATGCGCGCAGGCTCTGGAAAAAGACGAGGAAATCAAAACAACGAAAATCGCTTTTCCATATCTGAAGGCAATCAGGAGCCGCCAAAGAAGATCTTCCCTGATGACTTTTGATTGAGGAGACCTATTCTCTTTCTGTCTCTGCAAACCGCCGGTCCCCGTGCGTTCATCGGTAGCTTAGTAACGATTAAGGCACATAGATCTGTAATGACTTCTGCAGCGGTCGGTTTGTTTGGCTCCGAGGGCTGTGTGCAATTTACGCAGTGTTCCCAGAGTTATAGCGGGTACTGCTGAATATTCATGCCGACGTGTCCCCTGCCATCCTCCGGTTGGCCATACCAGATGTTAAAAAAGACCCATATGAGATCACTGACACCAGAATGGGCTTTTTTTTATTTCAGAAACAGATTTGGTGAGCAGTGGGTGAGTCATTGCCAGATCACAGCTTTTTTTCCCCCTCGGAGCCATAAAAGCTGGACCCCTACCAAACATTTAGAGCACGTTGTGCTACCTATAAATGACTTCATCAGAAGGTGACCTGTTGGCCACAGCTGGAACACTGTCAGGTACTCATGCACAGCAGATTCACTGTCTCGCTCAAAGAACCATCCTAATGAAGGCCTAAATAAAGATAAAGTAATAGCAGCATCCCATACGTTTATTGGCAAATCCACCGTCTCCTACTGCACGAACATTTCAGCGACGCTTCTGGGACTCCGATCAACTGTTGAGACACATCACAGTATGATTTTATTTGTCAGATCTAAGGCCTGGCGCGAGGGGCTGAGAAGTAAGACCACCTGCATTTACTTATGTCCCAGAACCCCGGGAGCGAGCGTCTGAGAAGGCTCGGAGGATTAACTTACAGCTTTTACAGCTCAGTCGGCACACACTATTATACCTATTCAATCACACCAGCCTTCTGGAATATAAAAAATTTTAACAGAGCTCACGCGCATGTACACACACACACGCACCGACACACACAGAGTACCCGCTTGACCTGCTTTTGCTGCAAACTGTCACAAGCTCTGGCGATTATGTATGTATGCTTCTCTCTTCATCTTTAGGGAAACTCTGAGGTTTTCCATCTGAAAGACGAGCGAATCTGCGATCACCCGGCGGTGTAATGAGGTGAGATAATCTCTTCGGGTTCAGGGCGCTGGCAGGGACAGATGCTGGTAGCGAGAATTTTATAAAGCAGGCTGCGCAGATGACGGGTGAGGGTGCCTCATAGGGGTAAGCCAGTGATAAAGAGTTTATTTTAATAAGTCAGCGAGACAGCTGCTGAAATTTCTGTCAGCAAGTGTGTTGTGATTTGTTATCTTTTACCGGTACATAAACAGCAAAAAAAAAAACCACTTTTAAAAAAGTAACTTTGTCCTTAAAGTGCATTTCAGAAATAGCACTTAGGCAACTTATCAAAGATACATTATGAAATGATATAGCACAGTTATGTCCATCAGCTAAATCTGCATAGATGTTTAGCTTATGTTAGGGGAAAGACTGGGAGCGAACATAGTGAAGCCTCCATCATTCAAAACTCCCTAATTAACACGTTACATCTCGTTTCTTTAATCAATGCTAAATATCAGCGTTTAAACCCAGTGTAATTGTTTTAAGGAGGATTATGTGCAGGATTATTTCCTGAGAGCCTGAAGTATAAACCTCACCTGGTTCTTTCTTTCCTAAAATATCAAACATTTCCTTCTTCTTCTTGCTTGCATTTCTTTTTCTTGTACACAAATTGCTCTTTGCAGCACACATACCATCCCAACCTGCACTTGTCGCGTGCCCCTGCATGTGCCTTTTCCCCTGTAATCTTATACCTTACACAGCGGCATGCTGTCTGCACCTCTGTGCATGTCTTTTGCTCTGCCTTTACCTTTACGGGGTCATCACAAACGATGTGAAGCAGGCATACTTACAGGAGGTCCTGAAAAGAGAGAGGAAAAATCCCTGGTTAGTGTGTTTTCAATCAGCGATCAAACAGACACAGATCATCAATATTCCACTGGAACCACTTATCCAGAATTACTAAGAACAGAAATCAGCCTCTAGCTGAGAATTATTTTTTTGGATAGGACCGTCTTCACATTTCATCTTTGCCGCGATGCGTTCACTGACGATGAGGAATGGGAGAAAGATGGCCTCTTTCAGTAATCTTTCTACCTTACAGCAGAGAACAAAAGACTCCCAGCTATTTACCATACCGCGGTGGGGCCAACAACAGTCACCAGGCCTGGTGATCGCATTTTACATTTGCGAGTAGCTCCGATTTCACTGCTACAAGAGGTTGTGTGCTTGTTAAAGAAATACCCGCACTTTTTTTTTTTGTGAGGTGACACTCGTCTTTTGCCCAATTACTGCTGCTCAAAGGACTCGCACTTCAGGGCTCCCCAGAACCCTGCAAATCATTTGAGGTCTTCAGGTTCTTATTAAAAAGGTACCCAGCTGCTTTAACACTGAAATAGGGTTTTTTTTCTCCTATGTCCTTGAACGCTTCTTCTTCATGACCACTGCAAATTGCTCCTACAGCTGGGGATTTTAAGGAGCCGCGTGTTTGAGCCTCACTGCTCGTTTGTTTTATGGCTCGTTGAGTTACAGTGGACCACTTAGTTTTTAATAAACCTGCACCACTATGTTGTTGTTGTTTTTTTAAGTGTTTCAGCTAGTAATTATGAGAAATCAAAGAAAAAAGTGTGATTTAAGGAAAGAAAAGGTACAATTTCCGATAAAGAACATAGCAGGCACCTTAAAGGTTTGAGGGTCTACAACTGTTACAGCTTCTTGACGGCCAGAGTAAAATCAAAAAGCACTATTAGCTGACACTGTAGCGTGTCATGTCTTTTATAATGCACAGTAAAAGTCACCAAGGCTCGGTTTCGCTTTCCGTTCTCACACCGTGACTTCCACTCGAACAAACGTTCAACCTTTCCGTGTGTAAAGTGGAACTGCTCACCTAATCCAAGCATCAATTCCTCCTTTTTTTTGTGAGCGCAGGAGTCACAGACCTGATTATTCAAACGGGGAAAAAATATGCGAGGAAATGTCTAACACTTTCCAGCATTGACCACCTGCTAGAACAGTCTGAGCCTGTGGCTTCTCAATGCTACAAAACCTTCTTCATCCTAAACTGTCCTGCCACAATTTTCCTTTCCATATGTTAGCGGTAAACAAACAAGAGATCCTAATGAAGTATCCCATTCATTTTTAATGCATAGGTAAACATCACCGTCTCTTTTTCCTATTTGTTCTTTCTGTCAGCGGAGCCAAGTGGTGGGTGAAATCTTCCTCCTACCTTTGTAGATGAGTAAACTGCAAAACACCTCAGCATGAATTTATGGGAAACTCGCGACGGCATAGTTTCTTTTGGTTAAAGTGAATCATGAATTAAATATGCTCCCCTTCAACATCCACCAGAGTTGAGAACTTAAAAGAGGGAAATTGGATTTGCAGAAGGCTTACGGTGCAGAATTCAGCATGCCCCTGCCCATCAAGGACTGCATTTCTTCAGTCGCATAAATAATGTCTCTTAAATATCTTTTCAGTTTCTCCACAGTGCAGTTTGTTTTGAGCGTTTCTCTGGGATTCAGGCTGAATCTACTTTTTAAAGCAAGTCAAACACGTCCTATTTGGGGGAATTCAGCGGAAATGACTGAACTAAAACTGCGTGTCAATCTGCAATTACACCGAGAGCATTCAAAGCTGCGTGCACGTGAGGATGTAGATAAAACATCCTCACGTATCTGTTTCCCGACAAGATACTTCAATCCAGTCAGTGCTTCGGTTTGCAAATATTCTACTGAATGTCGGGGCCTGTCCTTACATTTGCTCCCTATTGTCTATTCTTAATAGACCGCTGTACCTCACCAGCCCAGGCATCATGAGTGGCCATGATTGCTTGCTTGTTTCCAATTGATTTGTCAAGAGGAAGCAATTCACATTCTCCGCATTTGCTCTGGCTGAACAGAGACCAAAAAAAAAATGTGTCTGAACAATGGTGCCATTTAAACTACGCTGGCATGGTGGATGTTTATTGGGAGGTTAAGCGCTGCATAAACAAAGCCTGGCGGTATCTCAGATCTGCAGCCAACCGGAACATTGGACCGCTGTCTTTCTGTAAACTCATTTTGTTATTATTATTTTTTTATTTATTAATTTTTAAAATCTTTAAAGGCTTTCAGGCTGTGTGCAAGATCGCTATGGTAATTTGCAAATTAGAAAAAATAAAAGAAGAAAGAAACGTATAGCAGATCCACATCTCGAAACAAAAGCAGGAGCCTTAATTCGACTGAAAATACAGGAAATAAAAATACTAATACTCAGCAAGCAGATCTCAAATGATTCAGTTGAATTCCTCTGACTTCCTGTGCAAATTCCAGTGTTTGGTTCTGTCTACGAAACCAAAGCTGTTCTTTTTCAGTCTGCCTCACTAAGGCTGGGGACTTTGCTTCGCCCCGTCTTTCTGCCTTCCTTTTGCAAAGCTAATACTTTTTTTCCCAAAGTGTTTTCTGTTTTCTGTGCTCTCGACCAAAAGGCCGACACACTCCAGATTCCATTATCACTTCCCGCTATCAGGTGAGCGGAGCGTGGACGGAGCTGGGCGCCAAGTACGTGTTCTCGCTGCGAATTCAATTTTAGGTGACACTTCCCGTGGCGGGGATTGTCACTGCGTGACACGTCCCAGCTGAGGCCTCGGGCATCAGGGCCTCAGCTGGGACAGATTGAGGAAGGGGAGAGGGGGAGACTGGAGATCCTGATTACATTATAGCAAGTCGCTGCTGAGTTTGTGGGGGTTGAGCTCGGGACAGCATATAAACATATCCACGCTGAGCGTAAGCACGGACATCAGCAGCTTCCACCAGGTTTCCAATCACTTTTTCTGTCCCTCAGCTTTACCGGGAAAATACAGTGTTTCTGCAGCGACTGCAGCTCAAACAATCCAAGCGAACGCTGAAACCAACCGGCCACAAATTACACATCTATAACCTATTTTGGCCTCCACAGATATACAGTATACTTTTTACATGATTGCAGCACGATTTGCTAATGTCCTCCTGAATCATTCCTTAAACGTTTCTGGATTGAGAAAACTCGATTCAGATTCAGACAAACACACAAACACAAATGTGCATACCAGGGTCTCCATTACGGCCTCTTCTTCCCCGCTTTCCCGGAGGTCCTGGAAAAAAAGAAGAAGAATGCGATTGTCATTTTGTTTGTGTAAGTTTCATATTCTACAAGTGTTCTCGCTCTCACTTTTGCACACCAGGGTGAGGAAAAACCTCCAATGTGAAAAGTTCACATTGGAAAACCAAACACGTTCCAGCCTCACTGCTTATTAAGCATTGAGGTTTTATGTATATGTAGACATAAGTCGAGGTGGAAGAAAGAACTCCAAGGTCTGCTTCATGCTGTCATTTTATTTCTTTCTCTCCTTTTAAAGGTTGTCTTTCAGCACGGATGCCCAGGTTTGAAATTTGTTTATCTTAACTAGCGCGTTTGTGTTTGCCATCTTCCTGTCAACACTATCATGCTGCTAAAGCTCAGCTGGAGGAGTAAAACAATTACACGCTTAGCCAGGTTTTACAAGTTGATGGCTTGACTAGATCGTACTGAATACAGGTAACGCTTCAAAAAAAAGGAAGAAAAAGTGTAAATATCTCTAATTTCCTTTATAAAATGACTTTGAAGTAATAATGTTAGTTTGTTCATGAGACCAGCCGCTAAAACTAATTTTCTTGTTTCTGGCTTTTTGTTGTCATTTCCACAGTAAAATGCCAGAATTTTAACATTTTTAACATTAAAACATTAAGCAACCATGTTTATATAGCTTCTCACTTGCATTGCACAGCCGCCAGGATCGACAGTTTGATTATTTTCTATTAATTTACTAACCTTACCTAACTCAGGGCCACTGTAGTCTGTGCTGGTTCTGGACTAATGGTATGACAAATCTAAACTAAACTCATTTCTAGTGCCAGTTCGAATGACTTATTAACAGCCTGAGTTGCCTTCAAGGGGGAGGAACTGACGGTCACAGTACTTGCGTGACAGGGTCGGGAGAAGTGTGTTTGTATGCAGTGGTATTCTTTACGCTTGACTAGCAGCTGTGAACAAACACACTGGCTAGTGTGTCTCCTCAAAAACATCCAAATTCTGACTTAACAAACTGGGTGAACATCAGTCTCAGGCAGTGGAAAACGTGCCATATCAGTGGCTACTCCTATAATAAAGGAGTGTTTTTATAAAGGCAGAACTTGAGAAACCTGACAGATATAGGATTTTTGAGACCGATATTGTTATCGATATTTAAAAATTCAATATTTTGATATATTAGCTGATATTTTTTTCCAGGCACAAGAAACATAGATAGACTTCATTAACACTTGTTCTGTGTAGTTATGTATTTCAAACATGGGTGTTGCCAACAGAGAAACTGCAACGTGTCCACTGGTGGATATAATATGCAACGTCAACAGCCATAACATGACTGAAGAACGTTATCAGCCATTATAAATGCAGATATTGCTATATCTGGCAGCACAACGGTGTGGTAATTAGCATTGTTGCTGCACAGCAAGAAGGTCCCGAGTTTGATTTCGGTTGATCTGATATCCTCGTGTTGGTGTTGTTCCCAGATCATCATACTAAATGTTGTTCCAGGATCAACATTGCAAGTGACCAATCAGAATGTTGTGACGTCATACTTTTGCGACTTCGGGAAAAAGCGGCGTAAAACAAAAAACTGTTCTAAAGCTGCGTGAAACCGCCTCTGTCCGCCGATCAACGGACCCTGACCCTAACCCTAACCCTAACTGTAACCCTTTAATAAACAGTAAGCAGAATTGATATTGTCCTTGCAACATTGGAATTTCATAAATGCACGAATGGCTTGGCGCGCAAAAGAATAACGTCACAACAATGTGATTGGTCACTTGCAATGTTGAACCTGGAACAACATTTTCATGATGGTCTGGGAACAACACCAACACGAGGATATCAGATCATCCTTTGATTTCACCCTTCTGTCTGGAGTTTGCATGTCCTCCCCGTGTTTGCGTGGAATCTCTCCGGCTCCCTCTCACAATCCAAAGACATGCAGTTAGTGGGATTAGGTTAATTGGTCATTCTAAATTGCCCATAAGTGTGAATGTGAGTTCAAATGGTTGTTTGTCTCTATGCGTTAGCCCTGTGGAAGACTGATGACCTGCCCTTGGTGTACCCCGCCTCTCACCCTATGGTAGCTGGGATAGGCTCCAGCCCCCCGGTGACCCTGAAAAGGATAAGCGTAAGAGGATGGATGGGTGACGCTATATCAGCCACACTATCTTGCCAATAAATTGATGAGTTCTTTTTTAATCCCTATTTAATCAAAAAATTCCATTGAGTCATCATGTTAGAGGTTCAAGATAATCACAGTCATGAAACAATTTCAGGTGACTCTGAACTCTCTCTAGGTAACACTGCAGTTATGCTGATGAGGGTTTCCCATGATGCACTGAGGGTTTCTTCTACATTCACCTTATCCTTACTCTCTATGTATTTATACACCGCTCTGCATTTAAATTTGAGTTATAATTGATCTTCGTCCCTGTCTTCCTCCCTTCACCCCCAATCAGATGGCTGCCACTCCCTAAACCTGGTTGTGCTGGAGGTTTCTTCCTGTTAAGAGAAGGTTTTTCCTTCCCACTGTCACCAAATGCTTGCTCATTTAGGTTTGTCTGATTGTTGGAATTCTCTATGTGTTATTGTAGGGTCTTTACGTTACAGTATAAAGCATCTTGAGGCAGTGTTTTTGTTGATTTGGTGCTGTATATAAAACTGTACTGAATTGAGCAAAATAAATAGAATTGGTGAAAGTTTCTGAAGAGAGCGCACAGCACAGAATTAATTATTTGGGTATTAAAAGGTGCTCCAAGAAATGACTTTGATGCTAGGCTTTCATGTTCAGCTAAAGTATGCAAGTATGCAAAACAATCATACTAATTACGAATCTAAATTGCTGAAATTGACCTCCATACCCTGCGTGCAAACCAGATGCATGCCTGTAAGTATGGTGCAAAACAAAAATAAAAATCCTGTTTATGCTGTGTTTGGCTGATTTATGACATTCCAGATGTGTCATTAGGGTGCAAAACGCAGGATTATGTTGCACAACTCTTTGTATGATGCTAAGTGCTCAATTTGATACCACTGCTTGGCTCAGCCTCCACTTCCAACTTTGCTCCTTTTGAACCCTTTCCAGGATAATGTCAGCTGCTGCCAGTGAAGGGTCCAGGCAAAGTTTAAGGAATGAAACCACAGGTGGAGCCTGACTCTCACTTTACTGTGGTTCATATCAACCCTGGGTTCTCCATAGGTTTGTATTTTAAAAGAAACAGAAGGGGGTTTACTGCGTTTGGCAGTCACTTCATTATTGCTCACTTTGAAATGACACATGACACCTCAGAGAGGAATATCCTGTACGACAAGATGACATCCTTCTGATTTCAGTAGGATATTTTTGACAACCTTTAAGAAAATACTGCCTTCGTGGGAGTGTGTGGTCCAGACGAAATACTCTACACGATTTTTAGATATCATCATGATTCCTAATATTCATCACAATATTTTTTATTCAGATTATAGGCTGTAAGGAGATATCGCCATAGAATCCAGACTATACACTGAAAAACTTGGTGAAGAGTGCTCTAAGCCTACAACAATATTTCAGTTTATGAAACATTAATGAAAGGATAACTTAACAATGTCTATAACGGCCAGTCCAAACACGTTTTCAGATGTATTCAAGTTTCCTTAAGACAAAAAAAAGTGACCAGAACCTCTTTAAAAAAGTGAAATCAACAGCTGGATTCTAGGGCGAGGGGAGACATTCGGCTGCCTGTTAAGGCAAAACATCACTCTTGCTCAAAAACATTGTTTTGGCCCGCTGTTTTCTCACAGTATCCCGTGTACAGCGGTTTCGGAAAACAATGCGGCCGGGAATGTCATGACGTGGGTCACTAACTACGAACAATCTGTTGAAACCTTTACAGCAGATTTTAAAAATGAAAGTGAAATAAATCAGAGTGAATTTAATGTTCGTAGTAAATGTTTGGCCAGGCGAAGATTTTGGTCAGACGTAACAAAAATGGGCCCTGTGGTGTTGAATATTGTGTTTTTACATTGTGTTATTTGGTGGCTTTTATATTTGAGAAAGGAAGCAGCAGAGAGCCACATCACAATGTACAACCAGGGATTACGGTTTGGCTTGTTTTTTTACTAGGCTACACTGATGGTAATGTCAGTCCGTTTGTTTTCAGTGACTACTGTAGATATACTCACATTTATCCTAATGGTTGCGGTGATCCCTTCACATCTTTATATAATGAATTACAAGCTTATTTTATTCAGCTGACCATAAATTTACCAAATACGTCCAAAGAGGGCTGAAAAACTAAGCTAAAGCTAGAGTGCCAAAAAGTGCACTACATTAAATAGCTTTGTCTTGATATCCCTGTTTGTGTGATGTACCATTACACTTTATGGATGCACCTTACTCATGTCTCAATCACACTAGAGTATAAACAGCATGGCATTTGCCTTTTGACTAGGAAAACTGTGATTTCCCAGTGTCTGCTGGGAAGTAGTTAAGGTCGTTACGGACCAACCAGATGTTGTCTGTGCAGGGCCCTCAACCTCCGGACAGCCACTTTGATCACAAGGTGATTGTACATATCAGCTGGTAGGAGGTAACCAAACAACGATGGGCTGACTCGGGCTGACTGCAATCACTCTCAGACAGATAATAACTGACAATAATCGCAGAATAATTTCTAAACATGGGCAGACTGCCACCAAGTAGCAGTCAGTTAGATTTATGCATATGTAAGACAGATTTTTAATAGATGACAATAGATTTGCAACTATCCCAGTTAATCCACATGTTATAACAAACAGATTATGTTTAATTTCCAATTACTGATCCGATTACTCTGCATTGATCCCATTCAAATGCAGAATGATAGCTGACAGACATAACATCTTATTGCTGTTTTTTACCATTAACACACAAACAGCAACTGACTGAGTATTAGCACTAACCACAGCATGCACTAATCAAGATGGCTGCAAAAGCACTGTTAGAATAAAACATTAAATATCAATCGCCACCATTCAAAGGAAATCTGGTCAAAGAGA